TCCATAGACGTACGTACGGGTTATTTTATATTACATATATTACTTTTAACCAACAATTTTATGTCGTTTCTTATAATGAAAATTGTAACTTTTTGTTCAAAGGTGCACCATTTCGCAAAAAAAACCAAAAATATCGGAAATATCCTACGTACGTGTCCATTGCTGTTGTTATATAGAAACTAGAAAATATTATCTTTTGACCCTAAGAGTCTTCGGAGAAATATTAAACTTCGGCCCTTTTGAAATTAATTCTTACGAAAAATTTTGTATTTGTACTGTGAAACCTATGCTATTAAAGCTATTCCACAGATTTTCCACTGATTCCTTTTGTTGAACCAAAGAAATTCATAAAATATGCCCATTTTTTGCGCTCGACCAGCTTGTCTCCTTAATTCGATAAAATTAACTTATGGTGTATTCCCATCTTTGAGCTGCCTAAGACATTTTCTCGATTGCTTGCCGAAATGTATGCCTTTTTTAACATCTTTTGATTTTTCACTAAAAATCTTTTTATTTTGAAATATTATTTCCATATCGAAGTCACGAAAAATGTTATTTTTTATTAGTTTGCTAATTTGAAAATTAATAATTTATGTAAATATTAAAGCACAATTGGAAAAATTTAATGTAAACTAACCAAAATTTCCCCTTCATAATAATATTTCTCACAACGACACTCGAGAAAATTTCAATGAGACCATTTACTGCTGGGTTTTAGTTAAATACATAACTACATATGTATTCCCAACAGTACTTTTATGCATATTTTCGTATTCTTTAGTTGCACATTCGTACATTTTCGCACAACTCAACTCTTAATGTTGACCATAAAAAAAGGTAACGCGAGGCTGTTCAAAGGCAAGTTACTGAAATCAGCATTAACTCACAAATACCTTCAAATGTGTATATATGTATTAATGTACATACATATGTACACATTTACACCATTTCCATGCTACCACTTCCTCCTTGCACTTTCGCATTCACACATATACACATAAGCAATACGCACATCGTGATCGCACGTTCGGCGTTGCCAACTTGACTTTCGCTTGCTTGAAAACTTGCGTTGAGGAAAAGGTATTTGTTTAAATATTTATTAACCCATCACAAACGCGTTAAATTTGTTACTTTAGTAAAGTTTTACTACGTGTAGTGAAATGTAGCGGTATACACATATATACATTTACATATGTGGAAGTTATGCAGCAAGCATAGCGAATTTCTGTCAACAGGGAAATTATTGCATACCATCAAGTAGGCGGGGAAAAAGACTTTCACGTACATATACACACATATACATATGTAAATATCTTCACTCATCCATATATATATGTACTTGTGTAAGCTTGCGTGTTTGCAGCCAACATTCACTCACAAGTTTTACAACCCTGCTTTTGACTTGTCTAATAAATACATACATATGTACATATGCGGCTTGTATTTACACGGTTAATATTCAATTAACTTGTGTAATGTTATTGCCTCTTCACGCTTTTTCGATTATGATGCCCATCCATATGGGAGCCAGCTTTAAACTGCCTGACTTAGTTTAAAACTGAAGAAGTTTCTATTGATTAGGCTGGCGACCGAGACGTCTCTTCTATGCTTTTCATGTAATAGAATAATAGGGGTCACCTTCGAGAATACATACCTCCAGGGGATGCTTTTCACCACCTGATTACGCTCAGCACTAAACTGGGTGTTGAAAAAGGATAAGGTGCGCCCAACCACCAACTGTTTTGTGAAATAAATATGATCGGTGCCCAACACCATGTCGTCTTCTTCTGGAATGTCATCGCGTTGGAATATCTCTCACATAACCGTACTCAGTTTTCCATTCTGCTTGGTCAACATTTTCAAAATTCTATCCAATATTTCCGCCATCCTCACCATTGACGAGACTCTCTAAAACAGTGCGTAGGGTTGAGTGTAAATATCACAAGAAGTTTTGATCAACCCATCTGGTTTTGATCCTCTCAGTATCTATGTTAGAGTAGATAAAGGTACGGCTTGTCTCTGGTTACGACCTTCCCTCTCGCAATGCGACGTAAATTGTCAAAACCCACAGGTTTCTGGTAGTCTGGAGGTCCCAGATTTCTAATATGTTTTCAACGATAACGCTGCACGTGTTTGTTTTGACATTTTCGAATAGAGGGAGTGTGAAATTAGGGTGGATCACACCTGGTGAATGTACTAAGTGGCTTCCCATTTTGTGAGACTGCAGACCGCTTTACAGCTCTAAATCATTCTGCTCCATCTCTTTCTAACATATGCTTAGGGATGAGTAAGGCAGTCGTTTCTCTCAATCCATCCTCCATAAATGAAATAATTAATCATAATTATAGAAAATATTCGCTTATTTACACTAATGAATATGAAAATGAACTCTCCATTACCGCCACTCACATGCTTTCTTTTTTGTTTTGCTTTCTTTTCCATTTTTCTCTGCTACTCAGCGCATTTAAGCGTATAACAAATAATTAATAATGCAAATTAAATAGAGCAAAATTGCGAACTGTGCGCATAAAAGCCAGGAAAGACATATTCAACCACAACAATCGTGGATTTTATTGCTTATTTCGTAATTGAAATTTTCCAATTATTCTTATAATTTACAAAAGAAAAAAATAATACGGGAACACAATTAAATCTGTCAGTACCTGCTAACAAACCAGCAGACTCCAGCAATAAGCAGTTGCCACCTGCCAACAAAACGCCGAATCACAAAGTAAATGTAGAGAAGAAAGAAGGTAGAAATTACCCAATTATTTAATTTGAGCTTCACTGCCGACACAAGTCTATAGACGTCAAGTAATATGGAGGCCAACAAGCAGGCAAGCAGAGGAAAATATAGACTTGTAGACAAGCCACCCAATCCTAATAGCAAACCGTCAGCTGCCAGTTATCCAATCATACATACAATAAACCCGCTAGGTAAGCGGTAGTCAAACACATGCACATTCCCTTTCTTTGCCCTACAGTCTTGTTTTCGAAATACAATACGGTAATCATTAAAATGCAAAATAAAGCATAAAGAACAAAAAATCATGGCAAATAAAAATGAAAAGTACAAAAGTAAAGAAAAAGCAGCAGGCGAGTTAACACTCATACAGAAATATATACATGTATATACTATATGAACTATTTATATATGTTGTATTGTATTTAATGGTATATATATAATGAAAAATAAGAGCAGTAATCAGGTGGAGCACATTTTGAAAAAACAACAATTGAAAAAATACTACATTGGCAACCACCCAATGCCACTTAGAGAGACCAACATTCAAGGTAGTGTTGTGTACATTCCAACTAATGGCAGCTTGGCAACACTGCAACCGCCATTCAAGCGTCTTTCATGCTCTACTCTCCTCTCTACTACTTGAATCGTTAGTTGGCAATTTAGCCAACAAAATTGCCAGCCAAACAAGAATAGCATCGAATTGAAAATGAATGAAAATGTGAAATGAAAATATAAACGACAAGTGGCATAAATGCAAACGAATCTTTTTTTTTTTTTGCAAAACAAACTTGAGTGGCGCATAATCGTTAACTAAGTATAAAAAACTGTGAAACCGAGAAAAGTCAGACAAACTGACAGAAAAACACACAAGCAGCTGCCATTTAAACACCGGAAATGTGCCGCCATGGAAAATCGTTGCTATGATGCTAAGGAAAAGTCTTAGATTACCTTGTTAAAATTTACCGTAGGTTTCGCTGTCGATTTGACAATGCTTTCACTTCCTGTCAGAGCCTGTATGTATGAATACAATAGTTATACTAATATTATATTCGTAAAGGAGCATTTATTTTGAATTAATAGTAAGAAAATAGAGAAATGAATCGGTGCCTACCAAACTGAACTCTTTTCGCAAAAAATTAGATTTAAAGAAATTGTTTACAGAACGGTTAATGCTTGAAAAATGATTCTAAATAAAAATGCGGTAATACATTTTCTTTATATAGACTGATATCACCACTTCTGAATGTTATAAACGACACGAACTTTTATAAAACCATACATATGTACATATATTCCACATCTGAATTTCAGAAAAGTTGACCAAGTTATAAAATCAATGTCGTCTTACATTAAACAAACTTTCAATTTAAATTCTTATGCAAGAGATATATAAATAATTTCAAAATCTATATGAATTATATAGATTATTCATAAATTATTCGATTTATATATATTCCACTTCAGTATTTTAGAAAATTAGCTCAAACCCAACATTATTTCACAATAGACATAATGCCACTTCTGATTTTTTAATACTAATTAATTTTTAGTTTTAGTGGTTGTAAATTTTATTTTATTCCACATCTCAATTCTTTGTTTCTATATTCCCCTTTCGAAATATGTTTACGGTGTTGTATTAATTTTAGAGATTATAGAAGCCTCTTACCTGTGAAATTTATTTAAGATATATTCTGAATTTTTAGTTTCTAAATTCCAATCTCCGAATTTTGGAAAAATTAACGGTTTCTGAATATTTTGATATTTTTTAACCTAATATTTGGTGTACAGTTGAATTAAAACGATCGACTATAGTGAATCAGTTGAATTTTAAAAAACTGCACATTTTTCAGCACTTTACATTTCGTCGGAGAGTTCTCAACACAATCTCATTTGATTTGCTTATTCTTCCACTGTTTGTACACTAACACTACAATTCCATTGCCTTTGCTTTCTCGTAGTAGTTTTTTCGCCAGCCAAGCCTTCAAGCGCTTTACGCTGTTCAACTTTCTGCATGCACTACACAAACGTTGCCAATTTACAGCTACTAAAACAACAACAACAAAATCAAACAAATAATATAATACTATCTATCGTCTAACTATACAAACTGTGGCAATCAGCGTGTGAAGTAGAAAAGTAAACTATGCGTGCCATTTTTATCTACACGCCAAAAAAAGAGAGAAAAAAATAAAACTTAAAGAACTTTAAACTTTGAATCTTAGCCATCACTAGCTAACTATCAGCTATTACTTACATTGCTGTGTGTGTGTGTCTGCTGTTATTTGTATGCCAACAGCGCCGCCATACTTGGCGCCATCTTTGAAATACGATTTCACTTCTATACGCTGACTGGTTGTAAGAAAAAAAAGAAGAAAAAAACACTAAATAAAATAAATATAAAAATATTTACGAAGAAAACTTCTACAGTCGACTGATACTTACTTAGCCTCCCCAAATACGCCAGCTCGCCTAACTTGTCTTTCATTTTTTTCAACTTAATACTTTTACTCTACTTTTATTTAGCTGTGCGCTGTTTTTTATGACGTCTCCATTACAAATAATTGCGCGTCATATTGGCTTACGACGATGACAACGTCGACAAAGTCCATGGCAACAACAACAACAACCGGGAAGACAGCCATGATTTTGTTGTTGTTGACGGCTATGCGGCACAGCAAGTATCGTCTGTGTTGCTACATTTAAAGTACATCCTTCTATGTACTATTCTCAGTTAATTTCTTCCACAGCACCCGTATAACGTGAAAATAAACCGCACATCTCTTCCACTTTTCTTTATAAACCATCTCTCCAACACTGCCACTCTCATGCTGTGCTATTTCCATGCGCACGTTATTCGCTTCTATAATTTCATTTCAGTCGTCTTTTTGCTCCATCTACTTGCAGCTCTACTTTTCCTAGACGCATAAAGTAGTAGTAAATACGCTGGAGTATTATTAACGTAAATGCAAAATTGCCAATTTCGAGTGTATTTCCTGTCAACAGCGAATTTCCCTTTTCCGGCACTCTTCTGGCATTACTTTTCTGCGCTGTTGTAGCTGTAGCAATTCTGTATAAATGTAAAATACCAACTTAAGTAGCAATTTGAGATGGCGATGGAGGGAATTGTGCATAGAGTAAAAGTAGGTAGTATGGCTTATGTAAACGGAGGAGCTGTGCTCTACTTAAGCTTTAAGAAAATTAAACATCGATGGTAGCGCATTAGCTACTGCTGCTGCTGCTTCTGCTGCTGCTGCGGGTAGTACGATATGGTGTGCTGGAGGCAGGGATGTTGTATACGCGTTGCTTTTCAACATTTTCTGCGCATGGTAATGACTTCTTGACGAGGTAATTGGTGCGTTGCTCACGAACATACTCACGTACATAGTTGATGGAATACAATCTAAGACCACCCGCACTCACATCCACCCACTTTGCGGTCCACTCTCCACACCATATTAGCATGTCTGGAAAATTTGAAATTCTGTTATTGATAATATTTCGCATTTCGCATACTCTAAAATGTAAGGAAGAAAAAAATGAAATGTGTCTAAAAAATTTTTGGTCCAATGAATTTCATTTACTTTTGCTTCACTTGTGCTAATATTCAATTATCCTTATTAAATTTTCGTTTATTTTGCATTTATTTACGAGGGTTACTTTTTCCATTTGATTTCGTAGATCGCTTTACACTGATTTACTACAGGGTAATAACAACCGTCTGCAATGTGTAGTATGTGCGTTACATATTTCCTTTAATTTGCAAATTGGTTATGTAATTACTCATTCTTACAAAATGGACGTTCGATGAAAGTGTGGGTGCGACAATATGGATTTTTAAAAAAATATGAAGGTAAAGAATTGTTGTAAAACCGTTAGAAAGTTCGTTAAAATAAAAAGTCGTCTTAGAAATGTATGAAATTATCTCTCGAAACCCCATATTTATCAATAAAGAAAGTTTATTCGAAAAAACTGTTCCGAAAAATAATTTCTTGCAATATTTTATATGTTTCACAAGAGTTGGAGTGTATTCTTGTGTGCCTAATATAGTCCAAAAAGCGTTCGTTGCACAAGAAAGTGTTAATTATATATATCGGATACAATCCTCTTTGCATCTATAATGTATCTGTTCTTGAATGTCTTCCGCACGAGTCCGAGAGTGCTCTCGATTGCCTAGAAGAGCCCAGAAAATGTTCTTCACGCGAGAAACGGGCCGTTAGAGAGCAAATATAATCTACTTTTGATTCAAAGATGACTTGTTCTCCGTGCACAACATAATCTGTACACTTTTTCTTGGTAAAAATTAGGAATGTCAAGTTGATATGTTAACTGTTCTTTGTTTAAATCCAAAAACAGAGGTAAAAAAATAAAACACAAAATAGTTTCCTTACTATGTTAAATTAGTTAGAAGTGTTCCTAGGCATCGGCCTACTTAGGTCATCACACGACACGTTGTGATACCACTCAAGATCGCACACACATACAATAACTGTACCTGTTTCAAAAGCTTCGAATTACCCTATTATGGTGAGCTTTTAGACGGAGATTGGCATGATCAAACTCTTCCTTGGTGGTAAACATGGAAATCAAATCGTTGTGCGTAATCTCCTTACTTGTTATGTTCCTATATCTCGTCGCCCATACCAGATTCAAAGAGAACTCCCATCACGTTGGGGGTTCATTGGCATTACTCCACCGTCTCTATTTATCACAGATTTAGAGCTTTTAGTTTTGGTTGGCTGTCTCAAAAAATATAGATACTTTTTACATAAATTACTCTTAGACTCAGTTAATAAAGCTCCACTAAAGTGTTCTGATAGACTCCACAGCTTGCTTATGCCCGACTTCTTATAGTTTTAGCCCCCCGCTTATATATGTATCGAGTCTACATATATTTGTACTACCCAATTGCTTTCTATACAAAAGAAACACCTTGTAATCTCTCAGTCGGATCTATCTGCAAATTCAAGCCGCCTCTAGACGGCACTCAGATAAGCTTTTCTTGGATTTTTGGGCTATTAATTATCCTTTAGTAGTGAGTTTAGTTATCTTTGAAAAGATAAGCACGGACGTTTAATTGTTATCCCCAATTTTCTTTATTTAAAGCTCAAGGCTTTCGCTGCCGTTTCTAGATTTAACACTTCAGCTCTTTAGTCTTGAAATACCCTCGATAATCATAATATTGTATTATAAACTTTCCATATTTTTAATACAAAATTTCCTTATCGAGCTCATTATAACATAAAAGCTAAGCGAAAAATAATGCCAATTTTGAATTTCGCCCATACCAACAACTTATTTTCCCCCTAAATCACCCACTTTCGTTCTCGCCCTTATTGCTAATCAATCAATTTGTGTGCAGGCACTGCTTAACGAAACCAATTAGTAGGTGACCACAAAACAAAAAGCTCCATATAAAAGCACACCACTTTCCCCTACTGATTGAACGGCAATTTAATACACATGAACAGATTTGATGAACGCTATGTTTGTGGGGAAGTACATACATAACAGTTGGATGTGGTAGCGCTACTGATAATTATCGATAATGAGAAAATTGTTATTGATGAGAAAAATAATTTAAATACAATATTAAATAGTCATAATATGAATTAAAAATAAATTAGTATCAATGGAAACGACTTATTCAGAACTGGTTGCAAAGTAGTTGTGCCATTTATAGTTAGTTTAGTAGTTAATAACAATAGACAGTTACTAGGTTAGCACTGAGCTAGTCATAATACTGCCACCAAAAGTATCTAGTTCGTAAGCAATTCCAAGTTTATCAAATTTACCACACATTAAATTCAATTTAGAGTTGGCGTACACACATAAAGGGTGATTTTTAGCTATTATCTCTTTGGCAGCACTGGTTTAAACAGCTGACGCATGTTTCGTGTTTTGTACATTGTCAAACTTCTTCAGTTTGGTCTATAATAACTATGAATCGTCTTACAAACGAACAACGCTTGCAATTTATTGAATTTCATTTTTAAAATGCGGTAATCCGTTAAGAAAGTTCAAAAAAAAGAATTGTGTTCAACGTCGAAGCTCATTTTTGGCTTAATGGCAAGAGCTGCCAATGCATCAAGAAAAAGTAACAGTTTGGTGTGGTTTATGGGCTGGTGGCATCATTGGACCGTGCTTCTTCAAAGATGATGCCAATCGTAACATAACAGTGAATGGTGAGCGCTTCCGTGAGACGATATCAAACTTTATTTTGCCCTAAATGCAAGAGCTTGACTTGCATGACATTTGGTTTCAACAAGACGGTGCCACATGCCACACAGCACGCGTAACAATGGACTTATTGAGGGGCGAGTTCGGTGAACATTTTATTTCACGTTCGGAATGGGCGCTTTCACGCCTTTAGACTATTTTTTGTGGGGCTATGTTAAATCTAATGTCTATACAGAAAAGCCCGCATTGGAAGCATTTATTCGTGAGATACCGGCCGAGATGTTGGAAAAAGCATGCCAAAATTGGACTAAGCGAATGGACCATTTGACGCGCAGTCAAGGTCAAAATTTTGCATGAAATAATATGAATTGTATTTGTTAATTTTTTGAAAAATTTTCCAATAGCTCCTAAAAAATCACCCTTTAGTACCACACGTATGTACATATGTCCTATTTGACCGCAATGAAAACCACAACACGCAAATGGCATTATATACGCATCAATTAACAACATAAACTGACCAACAACAAACACTACGAATACATTCACAAGCCAGTTTTTCTTTACCGCCTTATCGATTACCAAACTCTCGCACACTTTTTGCACCGTGGCATTTGATAGGTGTGTACGAGAGTATGTAATGAAGTCTATACAAATAATAATTCAATTAGCAATTCTGTAGTATCATAGTAAATATCATATAACTAGCGTAAAATTGTACTTTTATTCGCTTGGTTATTTGTGAAATTGTGCTCGTAGACTCAAACTTTTGTTGCCCTTAATGTTGACTGACATGCGATACCTCTTTATTTGGGTTAAATGTAAGAAATTATATTATTTCTTTTTTTTTTTTTTTTTATAGTTTTGCGTTGAAGAATTTCTTTTATTCTCACTCTCACATGCAATTAAATCACACCAATCATTGAAACCTGGCTCTCTTATTTTCCTTACTTTTTGCCCGCATTTTGCTGAGATTTTATTGTTGTTATTGCTTATGTTCGGCTATTCGCTATTAATCCTAGCCAACACAGCGTGTCCTTTCTTTATACAATTAATTGTTCAATTAAGCAATTTGCTTTGTTATTATTAAAGGTATTGAATATTTGTGAGTATTTTCAAGAATATTTGGAAATATGATAGGTTAGCAAACAAGTAGCTGAAATGAGGTGAAATGATTGCAAAAACTATTAAATTGCACTTTTTCCACAAAGCATTTTCGAAGAATAGTCATTAGATAGGAGGAGAAAAACTGCTTCCTGACTTTCACTTCCTGGAAAATGTTGGGTTTAAAGGAATGCTTGTGAAACTTATACCAACAACATTTAGCTACGACTATATTGGCTTTCAAATTTTAAACAGAGCTGTACGAAATTTGCCCCAAAAAGAGGAACCACGAAATCGTGGGATACGTGTCTTAATATTGCATATAAGGTCTAATTTAGCGTGTATAGCATGAGAGGCTAAAGACCATCATTAACAAGCTGATCAAACCTTATCAGAGTGGTTTCAGTACTGGTAAATCCACCATTGACCACATATTCACCTCACACCATTTCTTGAAAAGAGACTCATGAGAAAACTATCTGCTCGCCGATGTTATTGCAGCCTTCGACAGCACGGAAGTGCATCCACGCCGCTTATCTGACTAACAGCTCCGTCAGATAATCGAGAGGGACCACTATGAGCCACTCGTTCTAAACGAGGCTATAGTAAGGTGAGTTTTTATCATGACTGTAGAAAAGATAAGGATTTGCGGAGCTTAGCAGAGAAGTTTAAAAATTTTGAACAACCATGGGATTAGCTCGGCTTTCTTCATACATATATAAAGAAACGAAGCGAAAGTGAACGAGGACAAGACGAAATATCTATTGTTATCAAAACAAACAGTCAGCGCACTCCCTGCGGGTTAGGGGCTCAAGAATTTACCCGCGGTAAGGCATGCCTGTCGTAAGAGGCGACTAAAATCCAATACTTCCCGCGACAGTCGGGTCTTTATACCGGAACGACCCGGATTTTTATCCGGCCAAGGACTGTCACTCCCGCAACATTCCCCAAAAAAGTATTTGGGGAGAATAATTTTGCGATTACAACAACAACAACAACATAGCCGATGAAACGATGAACCGTATAAGATATTGAAATAGCTCAGCGAATTATGCCACAGCGTCTACGGTGACCTGTGTTAATGGCATTCGGATGCATTACATATGGAAGTTTTCGAAGCAGTATTCGCCCGTGGAAGTAGGGGATGAGGAATACCTCCATCCACTCTGTAGAAAAGATCAATTGGAAAAGAACTTGGCTTCATTTGATGTCTCTATTTGCCGATGAAAAGCAACAAGCGCTTCTCGGCATGGTATATCAACTTATACGAGCGTATTAATGATAAGAAAATAAATACATAGCTGATCAAATAATAATTGTTAGACATTCGGAGGCAGGGCTAAAACTGTAGATTCCTATATGTATAGCATAGCTTGACCGAAAATCGATTAGCAATTAGGACAGGAGAGTTTTATCACAATAAACCATAATTTATTGTAATGTTTTAGACTTTTTTAATTAACTCCATGCGTTTATCTATGCCACATTTGTGCAATATGCATATCCCTTAATCCATTTGTCAATAAATAAATCAGTTAAAAATTTAATCACTCAATAATTTTCCATTTGACGTGTACATACATATCTATGTATGTATGATTGGCCCAAATGGAAATACAATAACCTTAATCTGCTCAAATTAAAAAAAAATAAATAACAAACATATTGCAAAAAGTGAAAATCAAATTAGGCTCAAAATACGAAATGAAAACAAATTCCCAATTGCCTGCTACGCCCCGATGTCTTATCAGCACAACAATAGATCACGTCGTATAAAGAGGACACCTTTAATGCATTTCAGCATAATTTTATACGACAATTGTGCTTGAGTACATATGTACATATGTATGTATGTACATCGCTTGTGGCTGAACCACTTAACACCCTAATTGTCACAACACAAAATAAATAGAAAAAAAAAACAACAACATATAAACCGTTGTAAACTACTTCGCAGAATAATGATTTTTTTTTTTTTGCACTTTGAGGCAAACGGTAACTTAACCCTTCAGCAAACACATACATATGAGTATGTACATTCAAAATGAAAGCAAAAAAAAAATGTTTAACACAATCGTTGCTTGTCAATCTACTTTTGGTTGAATAGAGTTTGAAAAAACATTTGTCAAACGTGCAAAAATTCGCTGACATTGTCGGTAACACTTTCACACTTCTACGTGTACAACGCACACATACTCACAGCAGTTCACTACAACTCTCAAACCGGCAATTGACTTGCGGTATATGCATACATATTTATCGCATGCGAGAAGTTCCTTGAAATCAAGCCAGTAAAGCAATCATAAGTGTTTGGGCAAAAGTGTCGTGGTGTTAGTGTTTCGTATGCATATTTTATTTATTTATTCTGCTTCTGGAAATGCGATTTACAAAATCTCTTCTCTTTACGTACGTTGGAGCACGTTTTTATTATCGAAAAAGTACTCACGCAAGCCAAATTCTTAAATACCCAATAGGAATGTTTCAAATTGACTTCCTCACGAATGTCATTAGCGCACACAGATGAGTTTTGTAAGAAAATCAGGCTGAAGACTGCAATTTAGAATATACGCCAGCTGATATTGGCAAAAACTAACTGAACTTGTGGATCACAAGTTAGTTGGTTGATTTCTGATCGGAGAAAGAATAACCTGAAAGAGCTAGCTTTCACTCCGGTAGATAAACATCTTCCCGCGATTCGACCAAGTCAGCGTTGCCACAAGATGAGAAGTTTAGAAGAGTGTGAAATTCAATACTAAAAGGTATAGATAATAGCGCCTTTGGGTCGAACTGTGAGATAGTGTTGTGCTATGATCAGTCCAATGCCAGGAAGAGCTTGGCTGAAAGGGACGATTAAAGGCCTAACCGTAAGTGGTCCTAAGTAAGTCATTGAGTAAGCTAATTCTACTCCGTCGCACAATTAATGAATACAATTTAGTCTAGCAGGCAGAGATGGAGTACATTAGTTGATAGCTCCAAAAGGGGATTACTGCATAATAGAGAGGTTAGGTTCGTAGTGGACAGCCAAGCAACATTAAGTTAAACAATAAGATTAGGTTTGGACAAATCCTATGGAAAGGCAAAGTGACAAATATTAAATCTTATATATATTTAAAAGGAGCGAGTACACTGAACATCAACTGAGTCTCTGTCCATACAAATATTTAGGATAATCAAAATATGTATGTTGGCAACGCTGTTTCTCCTTTCAGTATCTTCGAAAAGTGTTTAAAATACTGGGCTAGAGCAACACTTATTGGCTTGGAATATAACCAACTTAGGTTAAAGCACAATAACCGCACTTGGATCCATGCTTTTGTAAAGCAGTTACTTTGTTTTACCAACCATAGTATTTTTACTGCAGAAGCTGGATAGTTTGCAGTGCATGTAGCCAGGCCAATAATATTCTAATTATGGTAGCCATTCAGCAGGGAAATTAAGCTCCCACGAGTGTCTCACTAATGTTAAGATGTCATAAAAATCCATCAGTCATTCAGAAGCGACTTGGGTTACTCCACTTTCTGGGAAAACATTCAAATGCACATCACAAGTTTGAGTAGGAGCTGGGCCGAAAAACGCGCCAGCGACCTATAAAACACCATTGTCAAGCCTTCGATACCAAACTGAAGTAGGGAAATTTTTCCAACAGGCTACTGTGAAGTGAGTTTAACTTTACATATATGATAAGTCCTCAACAAAGTTCGCCAAAATGGCACATTGTTGACATCTTAAGTCCCATACAAAAGCATTACTGACACACGCATGAAGAACACACACAATACACATTTTTCAGGCTACAACACCTTGTGCAGCTCAACAAAAGTAAATCAAGATCGGCAACAGACATATGTATATATCGTACGAAAACCCAAGGAAATATGGGCGCAATCTATTATGACAGTCAGCCGGCAAAAAGGTGTTGTAGATACAATAAATTTGTATGCCCATATTTTCGTCAAACTCTCTGTGGAAGAAAAAAAAACGTTGCATCTTTCTTTTTTACGGGAAATAAGGTTCAACTTTCAAAATACATATGTATGTATATAAAAATATACTCTCTGCATAATTCGTGTGTATGGAAGCGTGAAAATGGGCGAGCATATTGGCATGCCAGGTATGTACATACATATGTATGTATTTATGTGCATATAGTATTCTTTGCAATCCTATAAGGAAATAGTTTAAGTAAATTATAATTTTGTCTTCTTTTTCAACAATAAGATTGTCTCGTGTGTGTGTACTCGTGTGTGTAAGTCAGTGCGTGTGTCGTTTGCGGTATTTAATGCCAATTATGGTATGTGTAATTCGATATAGGGACACGTACAAATATATTTGTAGATTTAATTTTATTGTGTTGGCATTAATGGTGGATTAAATGTGTACGATTTCGACTGAAGTGGGCGATTTGTGTGCGTTACTTCCTTTCCTTTTCTACAAAAGCCTTTGTTAACAAATGTAGTAGAAATGTTTATGAGTAGAGAAAGTGATTTGATAATTGAATGGCAATTAGTGATGGGGAAAAGGGTTAAATTTGCACGTTATTGACATCTGTGTGGCGTAAAAAGAAGCTTGGAAAATAATTTGTTATAGTTTTTATTTTGATTAGAATGTACAATACTGCCGAGTAATACTACATGTAGGCCATTTATTTAAACACTCTTTACAAATAAACATTTATATTCAATTATAAATTTCATTTAAAATGCATTATTCTCTTTCTTGCATCCTCCTCTTACCGACAGAACACGCTGCACGTGGCGCTCAGGACTATACAAATAACCTAAACAACAATAACAACGATGATGCACACTCGCCGAATAAAGCGAATTCAAGCAATGGCTCTAACGGCAGCAGCATTTCACACAATTTGTCCACAACGAATGGTAGCAGTCTCCTGCCCAGTAATGGCAGCGCAACAACCTCCAATGGTAATGGTAGTACAAACAACGGCATTGTCGGCAGTAGCAATAACAACACCTCACCTTCAACACGTCCTACACTTTCGCCTGCCGAACATGCCGCCGCCGCTTTGGCTCACCATGCAGCCGCTGCCGCAGCTGCACATCATGCGCATTCACAACATGGCGGCCACCATCATCCGCATGCACATCACTCGCACACCCATCATGGCCATCATCCGCATCATGCCCATCATCATCCACATGCGCATCATCCACACCCCCATCATCCACATGCCGGCGCTACACATGAGGCATTTCTTAATGGCGCTGCTGCTGCGGCGGCGGCGGCAGCTGCCATCGGAAGTGGTATGACCGGTGCCGGAAGTGTTGTGGGCGCACCTAATGGTCTACTCGGACACGGTGGTGATCCTAGTTTATTGCTTGGCGCTGCTGGCGGTGGACCGGGTGGTTTGAGTAGTAAAAAGAAGAACAAACGACGTCACGGGCGCACCATATTTACGAGCAATCAATTGGAAGAGTTGGAAAAAGCTTTCAAGGAGGCACACTATCCAGATGTGAGCGCACGTGAGCTACTTTCGATGAAGACTGGTTTGGCTGAGGATCGTATACAGGTGAGTGAGTGTGTTGTGTGGTCTGCAATGATGCATTCTTTATTTCTACATATTTAACTTTATTGCTATTTTATTTATAGTGTTCGATATGGTTGCACCTATTCGATTTAGTACAGTTATTTAGTTTATATACTCAACAAGCTAGCTAGCTAGCTGAAAGCTGTTTGACATTTTATATTGTGTACAGTAATCAACAGTGAAGTGCAATGGAAATTTTATTATCTACCAAAGTGCTCTATTGGATTTTTGCTAACTCACGTTCAAATGTACTGATTGCAGAGTTGCATTAGATAGTCATAGATTTTGAAAGCAAAGTGCTAGTGACTGGCTATAAAAGTAAGGTTGGCAGCAATTTTATGGGTACCGCAGTGGTTTATAATAAAAAAAAAACACAAATTACAAAAAAAATTTTAATAAAATGACTAAAAAATACAAATTTGCATAATAGAATTACAGTCTAACTCACTTGAATATACAAGTACTTTTAGAGAGTACATTTAATTATTAAATATGAATTAATCTACAGTACTACATTTTATTGCCTTGTTAAAATTCGCTGCACATACTATATGTACGCGTACATACCTGTCTGTATGTATAAGAGATACCCTTCTAATTTGACACAATCCTTCCTTTTAAAGCAAATTAAATGCAAAAAATATTTTTTTAAACATTTACTAATGAACATACAAACATATGTATGTGTGTGATACTTCTAAATAAGTCTCTCATACATTTAATTATCAAAAAAAATATTCACCGTCATCGTCATTAATATGATTACGCTTCAAAAACAATTGACATGTGTCAAACGCAATGCAAAACTCGAAAGGAGTTTCGACACATTCTAACTTTTTAAGTGCATATTGACGATTTCAATGGCTTTTTGAATGCGAAATATTTTTTCTTGTCTTATTTGAGAAGCATTTGCCTGACGTTTGCCGTCTTTTTTTGAAATTTTGCATTGAAAGGCTATTTTGAAGGATAATTAAAATTATGCTTTAGTGGAAATGGAAAGTATGTTTTTCTATTTTATTATATATGTATTTGCTAAAAAGTTTTCATTTCATGTGCCCGATCTTATGGGAATACAGTAATGGTTTTTAAAATAGGGAGCTTTTGCAGCAATTATTATCCTCTAAATAATTTATTTTTAAGTATAGGACTAGCGCTCCTATAACGACTTAAATAGTTTCCGCCAGAAGGGCTCTGTTATGGTCTAAATTCACGTATGAACCTACATATTTCAATCAAACTGTAGGAGATACCGTTGTGGCCGCTTCAGAAAAGTTGATGAATTTTTGCGATTAGAATAAGTATTTATAATATACATATGTGTAAATTATAAATACGCTCGGAGAAGTTGACACGCCAAGACCTTATCTCATTAGAAATACACTTTTTCTAGAATTTCGAATGTTAGTTTGGCCAGGATTCGTACCATGACCAACCGCATGGTAGCTGATATTGCTTACCACTCGGCTGCATGAGCCGCGGATAGGAATAGGAAAACTACTCTCTTTTTCCTACTATATTTCTTAGGCGATATTTAAAAAATTTGAATACTTACTTTATTAGTTGAGTACATATTGTCAGCATTACGATTTTTTCTTTTTATTTCATAAATTTTTTAAATTATCACAATATTTTTCCCCTCAACATTGGGGTATTACTTTAATATAGTAACTACCCGTGGTAGTGGTGTTTTTCTTTTTATTTCTCTTAGTTTTTTTTAATAATTCACTACTGCCTTTAAAATAAGAAAAACAAATTGTTTATAACAGAAAGGATCACTTACCTTAGGTCTTTATAAAATTTGAGGCAAGAATCTGTAAAAAGAAGATAGAAAACTTTAAAACTAATTGAAAGAAAGAACATATTTAAATAAATAAATAAAACGAATAATTAATAAATGGATTTGCGAGTCACTTATATACTACTGTTATACTAGAAATATTTTTAATTCTATAATCACAAACTCAATCATGCACCTTTCCCAAACCTCACACTTTTAATTACCCATCCAGGGACAAGCATTAATGTGTCACAAGTGTACATTTTCAAATTCAATTATGGCAAATATGCGACATGGCGCCCAAATACATAAAACACTTTAGAAAATATAAAAGAATTGCAAAAAGTATATAACGTGTATATCTAAAAATATGCTCAGCACATTCAAGTGCTTTGAGTGCCAAAGTAACGCCTACGAAATATAATTTTTTTTTATACAAAAGTGCCCTACTGCGGTGGCGGCAGCTCTACGCACCATGCGCCACAAATTGCAAATTAACATACAAGTACAATTGGCAATAATGTCTGTCGGATGAGTAACGTACATACAAAAACGTGCACATAAGAGCGCGACCGAGTGAGTGAGCGCAATTGCAATAGGACGAGGCATTTTAATTAAATGCAAAATGCAAACTATAGAACAGTATGTACATACTCGTATGTGTGTAATTTCATGTTCACTTTCAATTTGCCGCCGTTATCGTCGTTATATTTCAATGTTTTGCACAATGCATTTACAGCAACTTTTACCCCTAAAAAAAAGGCAGTATGATGGATGTGTGCACGGGTATATGCAAAAAAAAAAAAAAATAAAAAAATAAAAAGAAAAAAATAACATAAAAGCATGGCATACTTAGTACTGAAGACTCAGCGTCAGTGCAAAAAAAATCGAAGAGCAGCCATTAAATTTGCGCACTCACACTCTTGCTTACCTACAATGTTGTAGTATTTACGTTTTTTTTTTTTTTTTTGAGTTGTTTTTGCTACTTTTTCTTCCCTTTTTGGTTTTTTGCTTTTGTGAAGCATATCTTATATGGCTTTTCAAGTTTACATACAAAAGCTTATACCTTCTTCTGTTTTTTTTTTGTTTTTGTTTTTTTTTTTTTGTAATGCGTGCAACAGCACTTGAAAAGCTATAAGCAGCCAACAAATATGGCTGGCTCTGGCTTACAGACTGCAGCAATCGTACTTCGTTTTCTTTTGCCACTTAAAGTATTATGGGAAGGAAGTGCATGAGTTGCTCTTAAAGCTGGTTTTTGCGGTTGTTTTATTTTATTCTATTTAATTTTTTTGTATTTTTTGTTGTTTATTAGTGCGCATAACTTTCAAACGTACAGCACGCAAAGCTGTTGTGTGAATGAGACGCAAATACCATCAGCTACAGACAGCTGTTGCGTGGTCGTGTGCGAGCAGTGTTACTTGCTTGCTAGATTATATTGCATTTTCTTACTATTGTTTGCGCTAACGTTCTTACATATAAATTTGCAAGAGTGTGCATTAATTTTTTCTTTTCATTTCATTTATTTTAACATTTTACACCTTAACTGCTTTTTCTGAGTTTTTAATTTGCTTACACAGTTCCATCCGAACTTTCTTTACAAAACTACACACACGTTGACTTTGCCATTATATACATACATACATATGGATATAAATTTTCTTACACTGTCTGCCGTGCGTCTAGCCTTCACACTCGAACGATCAATTGCGTTTTGGCGAAAGTTGAAGCGTTGCTTTAGAATTGCGTGCGCGCTGTTTCACACAGAATATGTGTGGGTTGGGTTGCGTGTAACTTTAAGTGCAGTGTTGCATTGTTTCGGAAAAGTTCAAAGCGAAATTCATATACGTTTACTTGGGAGTGAACGAAAAGTAGTGATTTAGTATATTTAAACTGTGAAGAATATAAAAAAATAATTTCAGTTTGAGTGTTTTCAAGAAATTTCATTAAACGAATTTTTAAGCTTCTTAGGTTTTTAATTCTTTCCGTAGTTATTGTAATGTAAAACACGCCATTTCTGCAAACTTGATTGTTTTTATTATTTTTTTAGTTTTTTTTTATAATACTTTTTTATATTACAAACACTTTTTAGGACTTTCACATATATTGCAATGCTGTCAAAGCCACAATAAACCGTTTTCAAGAAATTTAAGCCACAACAACAACACTTTGAATTGAAAGAGAAACATTTAAGTTTCCTTTTCTTCGCATAAGTATGCGGCCAGCACTGTTATAATTCGCGGAAATTGTTCACTTAAATTGTTACAATGAAATATCCGCCACTTTGTGCGGAATCTTTGCGCAGTAACAATAAATTCTTACTCTTTTTGTCTTTCTTTATTGATTAGCCGTCTATTTAATACACTTTTTTTTTGCTACTTTTCAGCAATATATGCAGTGGGGTGCTTTTTCGGCATTTCCAGCGAAAAAAATTTATACTGAAAGGAAATGCACTCAACCGCATGTTCAAATTTACATTTATATGCACTTTTGCACGTCAAAAAAAAAAATTTACACCCATCGCTTCAATTTGGCAGTACGCGTTTGTTCTTTGCCAAAATGCCGCCTTCTGCTCGACAGGAGTATTTAATGCATTTATGTTTTTAAATCATGCAAAGAAAGTGCAATTATTAAAATACTTCATACTGTAAAACATATTTGAAGATTTCCTGCAAAAAAAAAATTGTACTTTGAAGCACTGCATAAAGGATTATTTTCATTATAACACAACAAATACACACACATAACGTTGCATTTATTTTTTAAATATATTTTTGAAAAAAAAAAGTTTGAAGCAGTGCTTAACATTTTCGTAAAACGCTCACTTTGAGTTGTACTTTTTCTCATTTGCTATTTCGAAATGCATAACTAAGCAATTTTGCAATTTTCCACTTGCATGTTTCCTTTGCACCGTTTTTTTTTTTGCATTTTTTGAATTGTTTTTCGGTACATTACATTTTTTATAATTTTTATATTTGTATTTGTAATGTTGCATTATACTAGTAGCGCTAACAATTACAGTTACAAGCAATTTCAGTTTTTTCTTTCTTTTTTTTAAATTTTTTTTTAATTTTTTTTTAATTTTTTTTACGCCCGCCACAGCTCATCAAGCCTCAAATGCGGCGCACAAAATTACATTTTCACCATTAAAAGCAGAAAAAGCATCATTTAAAATTCATAATTAATTTGTATGCAAAAAGTGTAAAAG